CGTTCCAGGTGAAGCCCCTGTCTGCAACGGTTCGAGGTCTACCGGTGAGTATGGTTGGTTTATTGTTTGGGGTTGGCTTGTTCTGTTTGGGGGGTGTTCTGCTTGTGTTTGGGGGTGTTCTGTCTGCGTTTCAGGCCTTTTTTCATCCCCTTGCTTGGTTGTTATGGTTTCCCTCCCCTCTCTGGTTTCTTTAGTAGTTGTTTGCGGGGTATCCGGGCTGTCAGCGGCTAGTCTTGACCGTAGCTGGTCGATGTGCCGCTTCCAGCTCCTTCCGTCGGTGGTTTGCAGTCTGTAAGATCGGAGGCCGGTTATCTGGGTTATTTGTGCCAGTACCCAGAGTGGGTCTCCCATGAAGTTTTTCGCGTAGACTGTGTCTCCGATGTTAAATGTTCGATGTCTACTGGATGAGTCTGGGGTTTTTTCTGGGTTATATGTGGGGAGCAGTCGGTCTAGTGGGGACCTTAATTTTCTGCCCATCAGTAGCTCTGCTGGGCTTTTATTCGTGGTTGTGCTGGGTGTAATGTGCTGTATGAATAGCATTTTGTTTATTTTTTCCTGTATTTCGCCGGTTTCTATTTTTTGGATGGTTTTTTTTTGTGTATTGAACCATTCTCTCTGCCTGCCCGTTTGCCACCAGGTGAGCTGGCGAAGTTAACGCGTGCCTGATTCCCCGTTCGGCCAGGTATTTTTCAAATGCTAGTGCCATAAACTGCGGGCCATTGTCCGACACTAGCACATCTGGTAAGCCGTGTGTCGCGAAAAGTTTATTCAGTTTATTTATGACGGCTTCCGTTGTTGTTGTTTTCATGGTGCTTACTTCCAGCCAGTTGGAGTAAGCATCCACGGTGATGAGAAAAGTATGTCCCTTGGTGGGCCCGGCGAAGTCTATATGGATTCGCGACCAGGGGCCTCTGGGGGTTTCCCAATCCAGGACTGACTGGTGCGGCGGGGGGGTTGGACCTTGTCTCCTGGCATCTTTTGCACCCGGCTACCCACGTCTCGATTTGTTTGTCCATCCCTGGCCACCAAGCGTAACTCCTGGCCAGGGCTTTCATCTTAATGATGCCCGGGTGCCCCTCGTGCAGCATTGCTAGTACCCTTTTTTGTAAAGTTTCTGGTATAACCACCCGGTCTCCCCAGAGTATGCACCCCTTGTGTGTGAACAGTTCGGTTTGCCAATTTCTGAAGGCTTTGAATTGTTCGTTTCCGTCGCTTTCCGGCCATCCTCTACCCAGCTCAAGACCCGCACCAGCCGTTTGTCTTTATTAGTCTCTCGGGCAATGTCTGGCACGGTCAGGAGTGGGCTGGGTAGAGTCTCTATTTGCAGGGTTGTTGTTGTGGGTGCTGGGTCGTCTTCTAGGTCTGGTAGGGGGGATCGGCTTAGTGCATCTGAGTGCGAAATGTCCTTGCTGGGCCGGTGTGTCAGCTTGTAGCTGTAGGCGGCAAGGAACTCGGACCACCTTGTCATCCTGGGTGATAGGATGTTCGGGGTGGCCTTGTCCCCTGCCAGTATCCCTAGTAGGGGTTTGTGATCTGTAATGATTGAAAAGGTCCTACCGTAGAGATACTCGTGGAACCTTTTCACTCCAGAGATGATTGCGAGGGCTTCCTTGTCCAGCTGGCTGTAATTCCTCTCCGGCTTGGACAGCGTTCTTGAGAAGAAGGTGATGGGTGCCTCTTTCCCGTCCGGTAACGTGTGGCTGAGGACTGCCCCGATGCCAAAGCGTGACACGTCGCATGTTACCGTCAGCGGCAGGGTCTCGCTATACTGGATCAGGACTGCGTCTGACGTTAGTAGGTTTTTGGTCTGTTGGAATGCGTTTTCCTCCCGCTCCCCCCAAGTCCAGGTGGCTGTTTTATCCAACAGCCTATGCAAAGGTTCCGCCGCGGTCGCCTTTTGGGATAGGAAAACATTGTAAAAGTTAATGAGTCCCAAAAACGCCTGCAGCTTCGCCTTATTCGTTGGCGTGGGAGCTTCCTTGATGGCTCTAAGTTTTTTTCCGGTGGGGTGGATTCCGTGTCGGTCTAGGAGATACCCCAAGAATTCGACCCTCTCGGTGCAGAGTTGGCATTTCCCTTTTTTAACTTGAAGGCCGGCGTCTTTGAACTTTTGCAGCACTGCCCTTAAACGGGTTTCCAATTGCTTTTTGTTGGTGGCTGCCACCAGCACGTCATCAAAATAGGGCACCACTCCTTTTATCCCCTGGAGAAGTCTTTCCATGAGGCTTTGGAAGACTCCTGGTGCGACGCTGACTCCAAATTGGAGTCGGTTGCATCGGAATGCCCCCCGGTGTGTAACAATCATTTGCGCCTCAGCTGTTTTGGCATCGACCGGCAGTTGCTGGTAGGCTTGTGCCAGGTTGAGCTTCGCGAAGACCCGGCCTCCCCACAGTGAGTGCAGAAGGTGCTGTACTACTGGGACGGGGTAGGCACTTTGCTGCAGAGCATGGTTGAGGGTGGCCTTATAGTCACCGCAGATTCTTATGGAGCCATCCGGTTTGATGGGGGTGACTATGGGTGTTTCCCAGCGGGCATGGTCAATTGGCTCTATGACCCCTTGTGCGATGAGCTTGTCTAGCTGCTCATCGATTTTGGGTTTGAGCGCAAATGGCACTCGCCGCGGTTTGAGGTGGATTGGGGCAACGTTTGGGTTAAGGTTGAAAGAGATAGGGGCCCCTTGGTACTTGCCTAGGGTGTCGTCGAAGACCTCCTGGAAGTCCCTCACGAGTGCCGCTTCCCAGTCTGCCTCGTCGGTGTGGTGGACGCCCGTCACTTTGATTCCCAGCGGGGAAAACCATTGCAGTCCGAGTAGGCTTGTCTACGATCGTGAGTGGCAGTACCTTGGTGTGGTCTTTGAAAGTGATCTTAAAATGTCCAATGCCGACTACAGGGATGCGGTTTCCTGGTAGTCCTTCAGGGTCAGCATTTGGTCGTCCAGTTCACGGCGGCGGATGGTAGACACTAGGCGCTTGATTGTGCCCCAGGAGACCATGGAGAGGTAGGACCCGGAGTCCACCTCCATTTCGCAGGGTTGGTCTTCGATGCCTACCTCCATGCGTACCTTCCGGGCGTCGATGGTTGAGGAATGGCCGATGACGACCATCTGGTGGGTTTCCTCTCGTCGCTGCGCCTCGCTGAGTCGTCTGTTCCGGCCGTCTTGGCTCCATCGGCTCTTGGCTTGGCGGTTTCGGTTCCTGGGGGGGTGCCGTCTCGTCATCGGGGGCTGCTGCCTCGTCGCTGGGGGCTGTAGTTCCGCTTGTTCCGGCATACCTTGGCGATGTGCCCCCGCTTCTCGCAATGCTGGCAGATGGCGTCGAGAAAACGGCATTGGGAGCGGGGGTGATATCCGCCGCAGCCGGCACAATGGAACCCCGACTTACGTCCCCTCCGGTCCCGCCGATCGCGTTCTGCCTGGAGCCGGTGGATCTCCTCCTCCTTGTTGTCGGTGTTGGAGCGGGAGTCGACATCGCCATGGTGGGTGGGCATTTCTCGGTGGCTGGTCTCCACGGGCCTCGCCGGTGCTGGGGTCGTCTCGATGGTCGTCGGTCGTTCCGTTGCGTTCACTTGCCTCATCCAGGCCGCCGATTTGCGAGTGGCCTCGGTTGCAGTCGCCTCGGCGAGGGTGTCGGCGAGGGGGATGTCGCCCTTGGCCATTAGCCTGCTTTGTAGCACGGGGTCTCTGAGTCCGAGAACGACTCGGTCGCGTAAGGCTTCGTCCAAGTCGGTAAACCCGCACAGGCCTCTGAGATCCCTCAGCTGGGCCACAAAGTCGCTGATGGCTTTGCCCTCGCGCTGGTCTCGCCGGTAGAAATCATGCCTTCGGATGAGGGTAGGCACGGCAGGGGCGTAATGGTTTCGTAGGATGGGCTCGAGGTCAGCCCAGTCCATTTCCTTTAGGTCGGCGGGCTTTGCCAATGCTTTGGCCATCTTGAACACTGCGGGCCCGCAGTGTGTCAAGAATACGGCTCGTTTTCTCTGCCCGTTGGCATCCTTAAGGTTGCTGCATTCTAGGAACATCTGGAACAGGTCAGTGTAGGATTCCCAGTCCTCGGTGGCCGGGTTGAAGGGAGCAGGTGGCGGGGTGCTGCTGGCCATCTTGCTGGTCGTTTCGCGCCATTTGTCACGTGCCTGATGGTCTCTCATCTCACGATCCCACCCTCGTCGCCAGTGTTAGATCGGGTAGATCAGGTTCATCGAGACGCAAGACTCATAGTGAACTTCAGCTCTTTATTGAAGTATACAGTTTCGTACAAGACCTGCGAGCCGCGCGGCTTTTCTTATAGAGCCGGCCGGCGGCTCGGTGGCCAATGACAGGGCTTTGAATCTCCCGCGATCGGCTCGGCCAATCGCGGGAGGTTCTCAGCGCACCAATTACAGTAGTTTAGTTAGCCAATCAGATTGCGGTCCGTGTGGACCAATCAGAACTCAGGATTTCGAGAATGTTAATATAGAACTGCAATTACATATGATTATACTACTTCATTTGTATGTACACTGAGAGCTTATGCACCAGTAATAAATTCCTTGTGTGTCCAATCATACTTGGCCAATAAAGTGTTCTATTCTGTATTCTATGCTATGCTATGCTATGCTATGCTATGCTATGCTATGCTATCTCTATCCCTACTCTACTCTGCTCCTTCAAGTGATTATCTATAGTATATCATGTTGAAAAATAGTCAGACCTATGAATCTTATTCAAAGTTTAGTTTTCAATTCTTTCTCTTATTAGCCCTTTCCCTGTGTTAGCCCATTATTTTCAATGCAAAAAATACTTAAGGAATATACATGCATAATATTTCTGGAACCTGCAGAGTTTTCACATAAAACCTATCATTGGGTGTGCCAGCAAGTGTCAGATATGACCTGGCTTGGGGGAAAAAACAGTTCTGTTTCCTTCTCTTCCCATATGAGTTCATGAGTTTTCTTCATTGCCAAACTGGCTCTGCTGATCACTGACAAATAAAGACCAGCACTGGCCATTTGTCAAATTGTGAGCAGATAAAGATGCGTGGGTAATGCCTTCATTCTGCTGCTAGCTAAACTTTATTTTCCTGCTGTCACCATTTGGTAAGATCACTTGACTGTCTGGGAAAAGAATGTTTCAGAACTTTACACCCGATAATAAAGGGTAAGTATTATATACTATAATATATATTATACAGTATATTATATTCATTTGATGATTAAGTGACTTAGGATCCAAAGTATAGCCTGCCATAAAATGCTCTCTTTGGTCTGTTCTTGCACTACACTTTCTTACACATTTTCCTATTCTTGCACGATCTTCATGTTTTATTTGTGCTATTGCAGATGTTTACCTGTGATTTTTTTTCTTATCTTTTACACTGGTGTGTGCATTAACAAAATAGTAAGTACAGAATTTGAGACATCTGTAATATAATGCATTAGACTGATAAAGATTAGTTTTTCTGACAAGAAAGATTGCCACACCATCAGATAATGTGAGTCCTTGAAAACATGTTATAAAAGGAGGGAGACAATTGTGCAAAATAAGAAATATATTATTTCAGCTCCATTGCTTTTCATTGTGTTTCATTGTTCAGTCTTGTTCAACATTGTTCTGCTGCTTTGGGGATATGAAAAAATCTAAAATTGGTTGAAGGTTCCAAGATGTGATTGAGAACTCTCTGTATTGGGGGTAGCTTTATTTATTTATTTCCAAAACCTGATGACTTAAAAATATTACTGGTTTATTCCTACCTGGATAGTATAGGAAAGACCCTTCTGTAATAGATTCAGTATCTGGTAAGATCCAATTTGTATCTTGCCCCACAAAGAACATGCATTGGTGTAGACATGGCTCCATGATTAGGAAAAAAATTGTTCTTTGACTCTTTCTCTCCCTGCTTTTAACTGTCTTGACTGAAAAACACATTTTTGAAAACTCTAAAAAAACATTTTTTTGTAACACCTCGGTTGGCTTCATAAAGGCATTGCTTCTATAGATTTTGGATTTTTGTTTTATCATAGCCCATAGAACAGTATTTCTTTGTAGCACCTTGTTCACAGCTATTCTTTATTCATAAGTTAAGGATTTTCACATTCTTGTTGGTATATAATTTATGTACCCACACTGTGAATAACATTTTCTCACTTCACCCTATCATTCAAATGCACACAGCAGTCTTTACATGGATTTTGCATGTCTTACCTCATATTTTCTTCTTTTTTTGGAAAGAGGAAAATCAGCCTCTCTCTCTCTCTCTCTCTCTCTCTCTTCTTAGAACATAAGGGAGCTAATTAATTCACCTGAGAATATCCTTTGGGAAAATAATTATTTCATGGATTTGCATTTTTTTTAAAATCAGTATGAGCCTTAATGGGAAATAAAAGAAAAAAATAAAAAGGAACAATGTCTCCAGCTCATTTTCGGGCTAAACTAATCAGTCTCCCAGAAAAACTGATTTAACCAGCAGCTCATTTCACACATTGAGTGAAGCTATAATATGGCTTATTTGGGATTAGAATGTATTGTAATGTGAATCTAGCTGTTTGTTTTGTTAACAATTGTTTATGGTTTAATGATATATAATGTTGAACCCAGCCCATTTGGCCTTATTCAGTAAATCATGGCTGAAAAACGAAATGTGCCTTAGTGTAAAAAAGTGAATGCTAGCACCTCCAACTTTCAGTTATATCTTTTGAGAAATCCAGAAATGCCCATTAACATAGCAACAGCAACTGTGTTTGCCTAGTGATGCTGCACTTCATGCAAGATACACATTTGTCCTCTGGACACTACCTCCCTTTTCAGGATTGTCTAAGAAATACAATGAATGTATGAACTCATAGCATGAGCCCCTTTTTAAACATTCGTTTCTTTCACTTTTCTTAAACTGCATTTCAGAAATCTGTATATGCATGCATTCACATCCCAAATAAGTATATTAGTTATTTGTTGCACATATATCCTGCCTTTTTTTATGAGCATCAATGCTGTCTTACATGAGGCTTCCTACATTTCATTCTCACAGCTATTTGTGAGGTGCGGTGGAGGCTGAGAAAGGGACAGATTAGTCCCCTGACTTCCAACGAGCCACAAGGCTGAATGGAAAAACTTGAAGCGGAAACCACCAAGTCCTTCAACCAGTTCCTTGTTCAGTGATTCTTTTCACCAGGAAGTAATTTAGAAAGGCCAGACCAGGAGTCAGCAAGAAAAATGCTTGAACCAAGATATTAGAATTCTAAGAAGCTTGGGAAAAAGTTATTTTTTCCTCTTTCCCTGCTCTTCTGTTACCTAAAAGCAAATGCCAAAATCAGACCACTAGATAAAGAGCTAGCATACCAAAACAATGATTAAAGAGAGGGAACAAGTAAGATAGTTAAGAACTGTTTCAAAAAGCCCTCTATTTATAAATGTATCTGTATAGATATCTAGTGGCTTGTTTAATTAAGGCCACTGTATAGTAGAATTAAGCATTAATTATTTCCATGAGAAACACTGTAACAATTGTTGGGAGAAATGTCCATCTGGGTTCAGTTCCAAGTGGGAAGAAGCACACTGGAAACATGGAGAGTGCTCGGAAGGATGGTTTTAATGGTGGACAAAACCACATTGAGATCCTAGGCAAAACAGCACACGGATGAGAGAGGGAGAGAGATTTAGAATCTCTGGTGGGCTTTGAACTTGCTTCTTGTTCCTGTGGCAGGAAATGTATCCTGATTGGTTGTCAGACTCCCATGGGGCCACGCAGGGGTAACTTTGCAGCTTGAGTCCCAAGCTTGGTTGAATTTTGCTGAGTGATGCAATCTTCCCAGGTGCCATGTGGTGAGATGGGTAGAGGGATAATCCTCTCATGTCCTGAGGCCCATATCTTTATCCCATCACCCTGGAGCTGAAAGTGGGGGGGGGGGGGGGGGGGGGAGCTGTAGGAAGCTGCTTTGTCTTTAAAAACATGTTTCTCCTTTTCTCATCCAGGGAAATATACTATTCTGCCTTTTTAATACTTCCTAGAATATTTCATTCTTCTAGGAGAGGGGTGGGTGCTAACTTTCTACAATATAATCATAATTTTAGTTCATAGTAGTAGTTTAGGTTAGTTCGTAGAAATAATTGCAAGTATGTGTCTGCATACATGCCTATCCTTTCCTCATTATATCTATTTTGGAAATTAGCCACAATTCTAATCACACAAGTCCAACATTGGAGCCCTGCCCCACCTAGCTGGTAAAAACAGTCAGGGGAGAAACTGGAGTTGACTCTAGGATATGCTTTAGGGAACAAGGAGAGGTTTCAATGCCTTTGATATTCCAAAGTTTCTGGCAGCAGTCCTTGAGAAATTTAGTGAGGGTCTTTCTCAGCCCTGTTCAGAGCTTCTAGGTATGCTCTGACTCTGAATTTCAGTGTTAAGTAATCAAATAATGACCATTTACATAAAGGGGATTTGCCCTGCCTATATAACTCAATGCAACATTAGCCTTTCTAATTTATCAACAGAATTGCATTAGAATTATGGATATTGATTTTGCACAATAAGTTTAGAAATTAAAAAAACGTGTTAGGAATATAAGGAAATATGTTCACTGCAGATGTAGGCATTATTATTCCATCTACTAAGTATGTTCCCTAAATATGTTTTCTTGGTTTTCATTTTTCCCCCTCCTCAAATGCTCTCACTCCTTCTGTTAAAATTCCCAGTGTCACTCCAAATTTAGAGATTAGTCTCCTGTGATAAGGAGATTCCCAGATGGGGATTGTCAGAATCCCTACAGAATCTTTGAATATTGCCCTTCATTTTGGGGTCACTGGTTTCTCATCTTTAAAATATTTCTCAGCAAGGTTTTGAAAAAATTAGAAGCGAAAGAAACTTTTTCCTTTTTTGGGCTAAACAGCAAAGGCACATATGCCTGCCATCAAATCTAAAGTTCTTCCCTATTGGGAGATATAGTGTACGTTTCAGTAGACCACATGAATTTTTATGACAGATGGGATTGCTATCTGAGCCTTGAAGATCAGGCAAATATTTCAGAAAGAGGTGGACTGAAATGCCCTTGCCAAACTTGTATCAAATGGCTGGATAGGCAATTTCTAGAGAAGGAGAAACTTTCTACAACATTTTCAGGCTTACATTAATAGCACAATTATTATTATTTAAATGGAAGGTATTCTTTCATGTTGACTTCTTTTGGCATTTAGTTGAAACCTAGTAAATCTGGAAGACTACAGATTTCTAGAAATATGAGGTACAGTCCAAAACAGGACATACAATCATGTTGTTGACTACTTACTAACTAAGTAGCCATATTACTTGTCGCAACTGAGTTAGGGGGGAGGAATAGTGTCTACTGGAAATATCCAACCAGATGTGGGATTTGTGTTAGGGTTAGTTTTAACATCAAACAACACTAGATTTGCCTTGGGCTGAACTAGCCTTCCATGACCAGGCAGATTCTGCAAAGATGTCTGAGAAGACTCACCTTCAACAGTGTTAGGGTGCCTCTGAACCAGCTGGGCTACTGGATTTTTGTTTCAGGGAGTTCAGGAAGTCCCAGGTTACCAGCTACCTTTCTGCCAAGAACTCTTTTTTTTGAGTGGCACACCCAAGGCCATCTGCTTCCTGGTCTTGGTCTATTTACTCCAGCTTAGAGCAAGCTGAAGCATTTGTGTATTGCAAACATAAGTAACCAGTTTAAGAACGTCTCACTCAGCTCATGATAATTGTTTGAAACTCTCTTCTTGCTTAAAAGATTAGCTGTAAAACAGAACAAGAACTCAGAGAAGAAAATGCATGGGAATTTTTCTGTCCCATGTGTATTTCAGAAAAAAAAATGAATTTAGTACTACAGAGAGTTGTTGAGATGAGAGTTGTTCAGAAAACAAAGGACAGTTTAAGAAAGAACAAAAAATGGAAAAGGGAATAGGGAGGAAAGAGAAACACACACATTTAGGTGCCAAGAAGAGCCAAAAGTATTGTGCTGTAGCTTGTTTTGTCAGAGTGACCTTCCCTTTATTCAGCTGCCAGCTGCAATAGCTGCATCCACATACAGAGGAGCCAGTTTGGTGGAGATAAAAATCTTGTTTTCTTACCGCAGAGCTTTCACAGAACTTGTTAAAATTGGAAAGCAAAAAGAAGAAAAGAGCAGGTAGATAGAGTAGAGCAGGTAGACACACTGCAAATACTAAGGAAAAAAGACTGCTTGCCTAAAAACTTCACAAACAATTTATTTGCTAAAGTGTGAAACTATTTCACTATATCTACCAGGGGTGGGATTCCAATTTTTTTTACTACTGTTTCTGTGAGCGTGGCTTGGTGGGCGTGGCATGGCTTGGTGGGTGTGGCAGGGGAAGGTTACTGCAAAATCCCATTCCCTCCTCACCCCACTAACCTGCTTTCCAGCTCTGTTCTCCTGTGCAGGGCAACAAAAGAAGAGCCAGCCGATCAGATGGGACTCGTGAGGCAGAGAATAGATCGGGATGGGGCCAGTCAGAGGTCTTATTTGCTGAACTACTCAAAATTTCCGCTACCGGTTCTCCAAAACTGGTCAGAACCTGCTGAATACCATCTCTGATATCTACTCATATAAAGTGTTAACAGGAATGTTGTAGGGCAGTGATCCCCAACCTTTTTGACGCCGCGGCCCGGTACCGGCATCAGCTGGGCGCCGCCATCTTTTTTTGATGAAAAAGTGCTTCCGGTGACTTCACCGGAAGCACGTTTTCATCAAAAAAAGATGGTGGCGCCAGCGCTTCCGGTGAGCTTTTCCGGGTAGAAATGGCTTTCTACCCAGAAAAGCTCACCAGAAGCGCTGGCGCCGCCATCTTTTTTTGATGAAAACGTGCTTCCGGT